ATGCAGGTTCAGGCATGGTGGGGGATCACTAAGGACAATTATTTATCCCCCAGAAATAACTTCTCTAAAATGAAGACAAAAAAATGGAGGATGTGCGTACAAGAAGGTGTTACAGAAAGCAGTCAGCTAGACTGGATTCTCTATGGCTACAGAAAGAAGCAGAAAGAGAAAACAATACAGCCTTTGCTTTTGATCTAAAATTCAAGGGCAACTTTTTTTTTTTTTTAAAGCAGGTACTAACTTAACTAAAAGACAGACTTATAAAAGAGCTGGTTATAAAGCTACAAAATGATTAGGTAGAAATAACTCATTAGTATTGATAAAGTGCCAAGCTGTAGTTGAATATATGGAAGGGGGAAAATCACTGACAGTCTTGCAGCCAAGTAATTGGTAGAGCTTTTAGCTTAATTTATTACATACTAAAATTTTAATCTTTTGATGTATTAAAATATTCTAAGGCTAAATCACAACCAACAAATAATTTAACGTGTAAATGTAATTTTTAACAATTTTTGATATTATTTTTTCCGAAAAAAATCTGACTTGTATTGCAGTAAGGATTGGGGATCACATCAGGTTCTGGACAACACAAGGACAGCCTTTTCCAAATCTAATTATTAATGGCATTATTGAATTCAACCAGATGTTTCACATGGATAAAATTAAGTACACGAATAAATCAAGATACAAGCACACAGTTAGATTTGACAGAAGATAAGGAAAGGTGAAACAAAAAGTAATGAAGACAGTTAATGAAAAACCATATAACACTGGTTAATATAATATGAAATTAAAAATTCTAAATGTAATAGGCCTGTTAGACGGTAACTCTGCTGCTTAAAATCTTGTATTTTAAGGAAGGGAGGAAGACATTAACAAACAAAACTATTTCTAACCAGCAAAAAGTATTTTTAAAGGAACATTTTAGCCGTAACTAAGTTATCCCTACAAAAGAATTAAACCTCTGGAAACAGGAATTTCTATTTAAACACCAATCTCAGCCAACAGTTACAGCTGTACTTCTATAACAATTTACCTAAATAGAGTCAAGAATTAGTTTGATGTATCTCTGGTGTATTGCTGCTGTAGTAAGTTTACCTGGAAACAGACCTGAGGCTGGCTTTGGGTAAAGGCGGGGTAGGGAAAAATGTCGAGCATGCAGTGTGCACTCCCTCTACTGGGCACTGAAATTATCCTGAGCAGGCATCCAGAGCAAGAAAGGGCTATGTCTGAGCATCCAGGTACCGTGAGGTAACAGCCCTTTTACAGCTTCTGTCCTCTTCCCCGAGATTCAGCCAAAACTCAGTTTCACAGAAAAATGGATTTCAAAACTCTTGTTTATACTCTCAAAATACCTTTCCTATCAGAAACGGACACCCGATTCACACCCCAAACAAGTATTTAACTACAGTGAACGTAACTTGTGTAAGCACACAAAAACTCATTTGTCTTTGTCCAAAACAGTAGGACTGCCATTTTTTTTTGGTCCATCCTCCACCCCTTTGAAAAAATAACAGCTCTGGAAGAAATGTCTTGATGACTTCTTCTTCCCATTGCTGTGCCCCCAGCAGTCAGGAATGCGCAGTCTGGGCAGCTGGGACGTATTAACATTTATAAAATCTGCTGACAGGGATTTGTTTCTAGACAAAGGACAACCACTGTTGTTCTTTTCCCCTCTTCTCCCACAGCTCCTGAGAGGTAAGTGCAGAACGGTGACAAACCCTGCCAACACAAGTAGGCTGCAAGTGCTACCTAAAAGTGACGGCCCTCCTTATAATTAAGGCTTTCTGATGGTTTGAGTTCTTTACTATCACTGAGGAGAAAAGAAAGAGGTGGTTATATAAACCATTTTAAGCCCAAGTATTTCACTGTAGAAAGTTCTGTGCTTTCCTTCAAGTGACTTTGTATAAGAGAAGTTCTGTAAACTTAAAGAAAGGTCTCCTGTAGTTTGCCAGGCAGCGGGGCTTTTACATTTTTCAGCAAAGCAGAAAGTTCTCCTGTAGTTTGCAAGGCAGCGGGGCTTTTACATTTTTCAGCAAAGATAAAGGCAAAAAAACTTTAGAAAAAATAATTTGTGCTAATTTTCTAACATGCTCTGATTGCCTAAGGATGCTGCCTTGCAGACTAGTGCTCTGCGATCTGGGAAATGAAGCGAGAAACAATGGAAAGCGTGGAGGTAATAGTGAGGATTGCCAAAAGTAGACACCTTCTTGCACCAACCAAATGATTCTTCTGCGAAGGCAGACCTGGTAACCACCAACTTCTTCCTCTCAATGTAATTTACATCCAGCTACATTGCTGGTATATTCATATTGAACCGTAGCATCAAGAATTACTACAAATATATATGCCTTATTTGCCTCTCAGCCACGTGCATGTGTAACTGCTCAGCTAAACAAGAGTACCAATGGCACATGGCAACAGTAAGGACCTCCAGGAGCTTCCCTCTTTCAAGTGGCAATTTAAATCTCTGCAGGATTGAGAGGTATAGTAGAGTTCACAGGGATGAATCTCCAGTTTCACTGTCTCTCACAACTTTCTTGATCTCAATTTGAGGATCGGTAAAGCCTTTCCTCCCCCGGTTCCCGGACAGTACAGAAATAAAGCACAGAATGGAACAGATGAAAATGGGGTAAATTAGAGACCACAGAAGCATGGAAAATGAGCACAAAATAAAACCGGAAAGTCTGAGGACAATGGGCAAACCCAAGCCCCCAGCCAAGTTTCCAAGACCCTATCGTTCTGTTTTATACTTGCTGATAAAATAAAACCACTTCTTTCTCCCTGACACTAAGGCTTGGCTGTGGTGCATGGACCATAATTACACTTCAAATGAGTAAGTACACAAACAATTCACCTTTATATTCTCCAGCCAGCAATATCCTGCTCATTGCAGGGGGTTGGCCTAGGTCCCTTCCAACCCAACGATTCTATGATAGGTACCTCAGACTGCAGTCACTAGTTGCCAGGAAAACTGCTATCGTATACAAATATAGAGATGTCACCAACCAACTACAAGCCAGCCAAGTTACATGGGACCCTCTGCACGCAGTTTATTTACGTTCTCTCTCTCTGCTTACTAAGTGCTCCCCTTCATTTCTAGGTGTGCTCATCTCTACACATGAGCAGGTACAGCACTCACTGACTCCACGGGCTGACAATAACATCCATAATGCACTGAGCTCTGTCGGGACAGGACGGCTGTGAGCCAGCTCTTTGAAGGACAGACTATCAGTACTTCTTCTCCTGAATCTAAAGATACAGAAGATAGCAAAATTTTGGCATGGCATGGCAAGAACGACAGTTCTAAGGATACAAGAAGCAACAATACGTAAGACAAGCAGAAATGCTAAATTAAAGAGGAGCTGTGTGTAGTGTTTCATATGCTGACATGTAAATATTAGACCATGATTATTACATTCCCTTCTGTCAAAGAGATGCTGTTTATTTTGTTCTGTCAGACTCTCATTTTACCATGTTTTTACATCTCAACAAAGTCATCTGACATGAATAAAAAATAATTTATACAGTTTCCTTCTGCAGTAAAGCTCTCTGTGTTCAGGTTATAAATTTGTAAGTAACTCAGCACTACCAATAAATTTGGATATTTTTCCACAGAAAAACCCTAGTAATTATATCTTGTTTTCAGTGCTTAAGTTAATACCTTAATGTGCATTGCTTCATTTTGAATGTATTCTTTGTAAGCACTGCTATGTATTTTCCTTTTTTTTTTTTTCCTTCTAATGATGGAATTTATTAGCTTTCAAACCTTATATAGATAGCATTGATCAATCTCCAGAAGTGGTAACAATACCACTTTAAACACATACATGTGCATGCGCACACACACAAAAGACAAGGCCTGAATGTCCTTTATATCTTGCAAGAAATATAGCAACCAATATTCCATGCAGAGGTGCAGCAAATGAAGTCCTGTCAAGCAAATGGCAGGAATGACAGCAGATGTCTGGATTCCTTCATACCTGGTTGCATAGAGGTAGCACACATATTTCACTGGAGAAAAAACATTCTGACAAGACAGTCTTCCAGTACTTTTCATTCAGAGTTGGCATTTTTGACTGGTGTGGTACATCAGTAGGTATTAAGATGATGAACCAGATTAATCTTGATAAAGCTTCATTTGCACAATGAAAGCAAAGTCTGCAACATTCAATCATGGCTAAACGAGGCTACCACAATTTAGTCCAACGTACAATGTCCAGATCAAATTCTTACAATCCAGTCATAAACCAGACTTTACTCTAGACCCTGACCCAAAACACTTATTTTCATGTCAAGCTATACAGTAATTTTGTTTGATTGCAACCAGCAGAAATGACTATTATGCAGCTCTGCTTTTTAGCTACATAGCCATAGACTCCTTTTTGGATCTGAAAAAGGTATTTGATCTTTCAGCCTCCATTCATTCACGAGTTTTACCTATTTCACAAAAAGTGTCATAGGTAATCTTTGTGAAATAGCTAATCTTTGTGAAATATTTTGACTCTTTAAAGCTTTATATAACAACTAATTCTTTTAAGGTATCCTCAATCACATCCCATTACATGCTCACCAGAGAGTAAATGCTCCAAAGCAGAGACACTACTTTCCTGAATTGTGAGACAATAGCATAGTTGTAAAAAACACATGAGTAATACAGATTGTTTAGTGAGAAATATGCAGGAAAGAAGCAGAGGACCCAAGTGTTACACATGAAGAAATTAAGAGTAAATAAAGTCTGAACTTAATCACTCCCCTATCCTAAACAACAGTGCTGCCTTACATGGTTTTGTCTAATAACCAGGCCCCTGGCATACTACTCAGGTGTTCAGTGCAACTTCCTTGAGGGAAGCTACAACCAGCTGAATTAAGTTTTCTTGATAAGTACACCATGTTGAAAAGTTTGCCAGATTAAGGCTTAAAAGAAAGTGCATTTTTTGTATACAAACTAAGCATTACTAATGGTCCACTCTAGTGATACAGAATGTTAAGAAACTCACCACTTTTCTTCTTCTCTCTTTAAAGGAAATGTTCATTTCCTTGTATTTTTTCATAGCAGTCTCCAATTTATTCTTGAGATCAATGGCACATCTTAGCCGATCATCATTTATTCCTGCTCTGGTAAATAACTGCAAAGCAAGAAATCAACATTTTATTCTTTTTTCCAAACATCTGAGCCAAAAAATGTTTTCAGTTTTCCTTCATAATTAGCAAAACAACATTGTCACAAATTCCTTTATTTTACAAATAACAATTAATGAAGCCACTTTTCCTATCTAGAATATAAAACCTAATAGCAACTACTAAAGACAAACAAAGAATGAACAGCTGGTATAAACATCTCCTGAGAGTGTCCTTCTACAGGCCAAATTCCATGCACAAGATTCCTGCGCAGTAATATCAATTCACAGAAAGGACATACTGTTTTTCTGATACAGACATTTCTGACAGAAACAAGCTGTGTTTAACACTTTGCAAAGAAGCCCCATTTTACTACACTTTTTAAAATAAATTATGACTGTAGGTAGCATACCTAATGCTGAGAGCCATCAACAAGTTACGTAGTTCCTGTATTCTCCTTTTGCCCACCCCTACTGAACTAGGTATCTTCTCTGTTTGTACCAATGTTTCCTGAACCTTAACTTCCTTTTTGCTCACACTCCCTCAGGATCTACTATACCCCAGTCCTTGCTTCTGCCTCTTTTTATAAAAAAAAACCCACAAAACAAACATCTCTTCATCCTACCTGAATCCAGGACTGCACAGACGGCCAGAACTTATTTCTGAGGAGTTTCTGAGCATCCATGACGTTGTTTATTATGGCAGTATTATCTTCATTCTCATGCACTTTTATATCTGCTCAAAACAGGGGGGGAAAATGTGTTAATGGATGATGCTTATAGCATCTTCATTATAGGAGCTAAAGAAGCTAAGTGGAAGAAGTAGGCATGAACCTTTCCCTGAAGTAATCAAATATTTTAGAAAGTTACAAACATCAGAATGTTTCTCTGTTCAGTACCAATTATTCCACTATTATCCACACATTAAAAAAAAAACAGAAGAAAAGCTTTCAGTCCAGTGATGACAGAAACAGTTGTTAAGCCATCACTACTAAGGAATCACTAAATAAACCACAGACTAGTGCAGTCTTATTTACATTACATCTTGTCCTAAGTTCCAATCAACGGATTGGGCCTTATTGTACAAGTTTCTGCACATTCAATATAAAAAAAAAAAATAATCCCTGTGGCAATAGGGACATGATTGTCAAAGAAGCCAAGTATGCCACTACTCAAGTAAAAATGGTACTTTTCATCCGTTAGTAATTCATAAGCCTCACAGATGCTTTCCAATTCTGTTGCCTGCCAGCACAGAAGTAGATACCTATCTTACTGACTGGTTGCACATGAAATTCCATTAGGACAGTATTTGTAAGAGACTTGACTTAGACTGCCAAAACACAAGCCATTGTTATTTTTCAAGAAGTAATTCATATTAGCAAAGTTATATATAAAAAAAAAGTATAATCATAATCCTTAAGACTTCCTAGCAAAACTCTACTTACTGCTTCTTGCAAGCTGTAAGTAGGAAGGAAAAAAGTTTACAAAACAGCCAATTGTAAGATTTTTAAATTAGTAGCTTATATCTCAGCTACAGAGAGAGAGAAAGAGGTGAATCATGAAGCATACAAAAAAATAAAATTATATACTGTAAACAGATTGGGGTTTTTTTTGTTGTGTTTTTCTTTTTTTGGTTTTTGTTTGTTTGTTTGTTTTAAACACGGGAAACTCATCTTATTCCAGGTACTGTGAAGTGCTGCGATATGGTTACGACAATCAATACAAAAGTTCAGTCATAGAAAGTAAGTAATAAAATCTGTAAGTCACATACAAGCACACTCAAACCTAAGAATGGTTACTAGGTGAACCAGAAACAGAAAAGAACTCCAAAATAAATGGTGTTCAGGAACTCCAAGCATTTAAGACATGGAGGGGAGGCGCATGGGGTGTGGGGGGAAGACAACTACAAAGCACTTCAGACCAAGACTGTCTCCAGCTATATGTGAAAAATTTTTCGAGGTACCTGTGGAAATTTCAAGATCTAGGGTATACTTATGTGAAATAAGCCCATGGTTCCTAACAAAAGTCTGGTAATCATCATCATCGAGAGCAGGGACACCAGACTGAACTTCCAAGCATGTGTCTCCATCTAATTCCTTCTGCTCAGGCTTCTCCTGTTTCTCATCTAACTCTTTGTTTTTATCAGTTCTAACATGCTGAGAAACAGAAAGAATGTCCTTGCTGCAGCATGGCTGTTCATCATCCATGGATCCAAAACAGGACTGTTTAACTTCCATCTGGGAGGACAAGGGGGATGCAGTCATTTGTTTGTTGGGTTCCAGTTCTGTGTCATTCACAGTGAAGTCAAAAGGATCTGGCATCAGAAGCCGGAAACAGTTTTCCATCTCTGTCAATGTGTCAGCAACCTCTTGGGACATTTCTATCAAGAGACAATTGTTTTAGAACATTGTTAAACACTGTAAAATGCTAATGCCTCCAGAGCAGACAAATGCAACTGCCAAAGGGGTAATCCATTTATCCAGTAATCAGTGATAATTTATCCATACAGATCTCTCCCCTGTGCAGAAATTGTCTGTCTAAAAGTGACAATAGTTTTCTTAAGCAGGAAATGTAGACCTTCCTGAGCAAGGAATTGAAAATCAGTGTTCCTCCTTTTCCTATCCTAAAATTTCACTATGCATCAAAGATTACACAAATACTTCTAGAATTTGAAGGAGAAGAAGGTTCAATGAGGATATTCTTAGTGATGTCGGTGGGTATTCGTTCCAAAGCCATGAATCTTAATAGTTACTTGTAGGCGTGGCCACATATATATGCTATTGCTCAAAAAGATGCTACCAATAAAAGTGACTTTAAAGAGATTTAACCTTCTGAAAATTCCATCTTCATACAGTAAAATGTTTCCAGCATGCAGAATAAATACAGACACAATTGGATGCATTGTCTATACCAAAGTAATTTAATTAAATAACCCTTTGTAACTGCAACATAATATACTTACTATCCCCACTCTTCTTTTGTATTACAGAAATATGTTTGCTATGTACATACCGCTTAGAGATTCAGCCCCCAGTTAAAACACATTTTTTTAGAAGCAGTATGATACTTTTCATAGATAAACTCCACTGCATCCAGGATTCCTGTGCAGACCATTGCCTATACTTCTGGAACACAATGACTGTATTAAAGATATAATTAAGGTCATCAGCCAACAAGGTATTGAGAAGTCTGTGCCTAGTCATAGATGCAGAAGTTAAAACACTAGCTCTGAAAAGTCTCACGATATGCTTGCTTGAGAGTATGCATTGATACTTTACTGAATTACAGACCAGACCTTGCTAACTTTTTTTTTTTTTTAAAATCTCTTCATACTACCTGAGCTTACAGGACTGTCACTTGTTTCCTTGATATTCTTTATGTTAAAGAGACAGAGGGTCAAGCTCTAACAAATGTACTATTCCCGCCCTCTGTGGTCAGCTATCATTTGGATAGCTATTCTCTTTGAATTTGTTTTATGTAACCTTAAGAAAGGTTACTTTAAAAACAAACAAACAAAAAAAACCCCAAAAGAACCAAAGCAACTCACCTTCCATTTCTTTCTCAGCTCTTTTGGCTTTTTCTTTGTAAATGTTAGCCAATCGTTTTTGCTTCTCCTCTTCCCTCCTCCTTTCAGCCATGGTTCTGGCATGCACATCTTGAAAATCCACCTAAGGAGGAAATGAAGGAAAGAAAAAAAAGAGTGTAACATTTCTTGTAAGAAATATATAGAAAATCCATTTCCTAAGATTCTTATCTGTGGTGATAAAAACCCTAACATCAACGATCAGCCAGAAGCTTAGCAGTACCTCCTTTTATCTCTTCTCCTCCTAGAATCAGTAACTACAGTAATTCTGAATGCAGCTTTTGCTTCTACTAATAAGGGACTGCTGAGAATCAATGGCTTTCAGAAAGGAATCATAAGGTAGAAAAACAAAATGCTTAGACTTCCACATCTAAATTGCAGGAATGAACTAGGCTTTGGGGGACCTCTGTCACAGCATTGGAGCCATGGGGTTAGGGGGAATGGGCAGGAAGAGACTACACAGGGTAAGTATTCAACTTACGTGAAAACATCACACTAGATCCACTATCAGTAGAGGAAATTTAGGAAAATTTGTAAGCGCTATTACCACAAGTATACGTATCACTTACTGAAGAAGTTCGTAAGCAAGGAAAGTAGAAAAGAAGACATTCACATTCATTAAAAAAGAAGAAATTTTGGATTTTACAATTACATTTGTTGGATTTGGGGATTGAGGGAAAGGTTATAATTCACTCTCAAGTATTATTTACGCAAACACGTTCAAGACAAAATGTTTTTATATAAAAGCCTATAGGAGCAAAAGGGTACTTCAGCTTTCACAGAAACTGGCATGGAAAGTCTCTATCAGTTTAGGAAGAAATGCACGCTTACCAATCTATTTTTTTATTGGGGAATGGATAGGGCAGAGGGAAGGTAGGGAAAAGAGTTAGTTTCACAACCTACAGCAGCACTTGGATCATCAGGGTGACCTTACTTGGGTCTTGATTTTTGGGATCTGATTTTTCAACAGTTAGCATAGCTCTGCATGCAGTAGCAGGAGAAACAGATCATCCCAATGAGCAACATTGCCCGCAAAAATGGAACAAACATACAGAATCCAGGAACTACAGCTAATGTTTCTTCCAGTCAGATTGGACTTGCACAGAAAACACGAAATTGCTAGAATTGCCTGAATCACAACTTCCGCCTCATACCAGAATACCTACAGTTCAGCCATTTGCCCATTCCTTCCCCTTCTCTGTCCCAAGGGCCAGCCACGTGCTGCTTTGGCGCTTGCCCAGATGCCCCTCTTACAACATCTGCCAAGTTGTCATGGTTTGCCATTGCTAACGAGACCACACCTCACATACTAGACATCTCTCACCAACCAAGTCTAGAGCATGCACAAAGTTCCGAATTGCCCAGAACAGGGCACGCCAGCCTCTTGCAGAAGCCTCACAAGGTCAGAATAACTCAGGGCTCGAGTTACAGGTGTGCGCATAGACTCACTTGCTACCCAGGGTCAGCACTAACTCACAAACTTGGTCAGAACACATCAACCTGACTTAGGTGATTCAGACTGAGACCAGAGTTGTTGTTCTGCCTCTGTATCAGTGCAGGTTACATGAAGCATTTTAGCATCGGTCTGTAATTATGGAACTGGATGTGATGAGGTGCATGTGATGAGATGCAAACAATTGTTCTTGATTTAAAGGGTGTGAGCAGTGGGCCTAGACAACTACTGCAACTTTTGTGAAAATACTGGAGTACAGCGGTAATATACTTTATATTAATCTGTTTAAAATCCTGTCCACTTTGTAATTCCAGCTCACTCCATAATTCCATCTATGCCTTCCTTGGATACAAAGATACTGTAATATCACTCAGTTGCCCAAATATGCAAACATTTGGAAATACTTGATTTTTTTTTTTAAGTTTGAAAACAGTTATTTTCAGATATACTGGAGTATTATGTGTTCTCAAAGTCAAACATTTATATAGGTTTAACTTGGACCTACTAACATTAAAACAGCGGACAGCTCTCCAGGTTTACATCCTAAAAGGGCAGCAGTTGTCAACTTCTGACTAACTGCGATTTTGGTAATAACCTGGAAAAAAACCAGACGCAAGTAACACTCCTTTCTAGTTATCCTGTAGTACAGTGCCAAACCTGTAATGAGGAACAGCAAACATACTTTATTTCTAGAAAGTACAAATGCTTCCTCAAGTCTTTTGGTTGCTTCTCACAGTTCAACTATTAAGCTGGCAAAAGGCCAGTTAGGTCAGTTGGCTCATCTCAACTCCAAGTACAAAAGTTATCAAACTACGTAAGATTGTTGCTATCAGTGGTAGTGTTTCTAAAAGTACTCAAACTCAGCTGCTCTAGAAAACAGTAGAGCCAACCTCGCTGGGTAGCTTAGTATCACAAATATAAAAAAGTGATCACCCAGGCGTAACTGGGGAGCAGCCATTAACCACAGGAGCACAGACAAACATGCCAAACTTCAGCGGAATTGTTGTACGCATACATATTCCATCTGGTAAATATGTATTATGTATTAAAGATACCCCGCCTCAGTCTTGCATTTCTCCTTGTCACTTCCGCTTAGCTTTTTTTCTTTATTAAACAAGACAATAAGGAAGAATTCAAAGATAATCACCTTTTGTGAGAACATGTCAAAAATTATATAGAAAAAGAACACACTACATTAAATAACACAAGTGGGGTACGCTATTAGCTCAGTGCGGAACCAGAACAACAGAAATATATCATGTATCTAAAGGTTTTTGATCTACTGTTGGGAACACTGAACATCTGTCTTTCTGATGAGAATCAATGTGTTTACTGAAAGCCTGATATTAGCATTGTAGATAGCATGAATACTAGAACAGTGTTCCCAATTCCACTGTTCGCACCTCAGAAGAGATACTAAAGCAGAAGAATGTTCAAAACATGGTCACTTGAAGCCTAGAAGGGAGAGCTAAAAGCAAGTATTTACATACAGGAAATTTCTTTTTAATAGAACTTCTTGTATGACACGAACACTGCAGCTGAGAAGAACTAGCATCTATACTGTCTCTGTTGTACAGTGAAAGGAAACTGGAACCACACAGCTCAGTACAGAAATCAGGCCACTTCAAACTGGCATTGAAAGATTTAATAGTTGCTTATCCTCAGTTTAAGGTGTAACAATTATTTCCCTTCTAAAAAGGCTAGACTTTGGGGTGTCAGGTAGGAATCAGCAGGTGAAAACCTACTGGTGAGCAATACTTTTTGCACCCCAAGAAAAGGCTAGTTGAGTCCAGCGCTCAGGACTAGTTTTTAAAACTTTACAATATCGCAAGATGCACAAAGAGTTTGGGGTTTGTCTTTCAAAGACCGTGCTCAACAGGATGGCTCCTAAAAACAATGTCCTTTCCAACAGCTTTTCTTTCATATTTATGGATTTTCTCACTTTAAACATCTGCTAGCGATCATCACCTAAAAACACACACAGAAGTAAAGACGCAGAGTACCTTCTTATTCTGCTTTAAGAAGTGGTATCCCAGAGAAAGCTTCTTGTAAGCCTCTCCGTATTTCTCATGCCAGTCTTGCACTGACTTAATGGCTGCTTTCCTCAGTTTCTGTGCCACATCTCTGGGCGGGGGAAGCGGCTGCTCATGGTCTATCCCCACCGTCAGCTCCAAGAACTCTTGGAAGTTGGAAATAACTAGCGTCCGGAACTGATGGGATCGGGTGAACAACTCCTGCACGACCTGGAAAGCCGAGAAGCGCATCTCGGCGTGCTCCTCCTTGAGCCGCGTCCTCAGCAGGTGATAGGCATGGCTGATATGTTCGTCTGAAGACCTGGAAAAGGAGAAAAGGAAAAAAAAGAAGGAGGGGGAGTTATGTAAGAAGAGGTTCAGCACATAAACCTATAACTTTTTAAAAAATTATTTTAAATTTTAAACCAGCAGCTTCTGTGCTGGCAGCAAGCTGCACTCAACGCGAACAGCAGGCCCCA